ATAACTAAAACAACCAAAAATATAATCTCACTGTATTTATACATATGTAAATATTAATGTAGATAAATTCTAAATTCTGTTTTATATAAGACAAAATAGTAAAATTATATTTTTATGTCTAATTTAGTTTAAAATTATTATATTACATTTTTATTATTGCTGTTGAAAATTTGCTGCAATATTATTAATGTTTTGTTTCCATTTTTATTTTCCTATAATATCTCTGTTACATTACATTGCAATGTGCAATGATGTAACATTGCAGCAACATAATCGGAAGATTCTGTGCTATATGGGAAGGTAAGAAAAAGAAAAACACCGCACAAGGATAACTCGTCGCCGAGTTTCGAACGCTCTCTGCCGGCTCAAAACTTTTCGACGTAGGAGCCTCAGTCTACTCGGCCACGCCACCTCGCAGAAAGGGGAGCGGTGCACTTGGACACGGTGCATTTGGACACAGCCAATCACAGCACCGTGTGATTAGAGACATTTGTAGGATCCCTTGGAACAGCGACTTGTGATTGGACTGTGTCCAATTACCCCGTGTCCAACTGATATACACCCCGCAGAAAGACATTGCATTTTTAGCCATATCCGTGATATAGTCTCGCAATCCAAACTTTATATTGTAATTTCTCATAAACAAAGGCCCATCGACACAAATCCCAATTAGGGTGTTGATGCTTAACATCGCAGTTAGCGAACGTGCTATGTCTCATTCAGAAATCGATTTAGCAGGTTGTGGCATCTCCTTATAAGTTGATTCTCGATTGGTTGTTATTATTCAGGCGTATTGTTAAATACGCGCCATGGGGATAAGGTACTTTACATGTAAGAATGTGTGAAAGCGTAATGTGTGTAGCTGTACGATAAGGTTAAGATAGTAGTTAATAACAACGTTGCTTATTGAGAAGTATGAAGGTAGGGAAAATAATTTATTACTTTTGTTATACAGGGTGAGTCATTTTAGTCTATGGATCCGAATATCTTCCAAATTACGGTATCTACAAAAAAATGGTTTAGATAAAAGTTGACCAGGACAGAGGGGGTCATTCAATTGTACCATTGGTTTTGACCTTGAGGTCAATTTTGAAGGTTACTTCAAGGTCACGATGGTTTTTTCTAATGGGACACCCTATTTTTGACTGCGGATTTCGAAAGAGCGGAAAATTTTACATCAAACT